CACATGCACACGCACGCACACGTGCACACAAACACAAGCAAGCACGCTTGCACGCACACACAAGCACGCGCACATGCACACGTGGACACAAACACAAGCAAGCACGCTTGCACGCACGCACACACACGCACACGTGCACACACACGCACACGCGCACATGCACACGCATGCACACATGCACACAAACACAAGCAAGCACACTTGCATGCACGCAGACACACACACGCAAACTCGCACGCACGCACGCTTGCACGCACCCACACACACACAAACCCACACACACACAAACTCGCACGCACGCACGCGTACACGCACCCACACACACACACAAACCCACACAAACCCACACACACGCAAACCCACACACACACAAACTGGCACGCACGCACCTACGCAGTTATGCGATCAGTTGGAGAGTCGGCGCACATGATCAGCGCTGCTACGGATGTTAGCTGTTATCTGTAGAGCGTCGATCGGTGCATGCAACCATTCTACGGCTTCCCACGTCCGCCACCCGGCCCCACCACGACATAAACCCTGCTTAGCAGTAATCCACCTCCCCGCTTATAGCTAGGTAAGTACATTTGGGTGGGTTCGGCTGGTTGGGTGGGTTTGCGTAGTTGGATAGGTGGTTGGTTGTATTGATTGGATTAGGGTTGTGTTGTCGAACAAGCAGGTGTATGGGTTGTTTAAAGCTAGGTTCACACTGGCGATTTTTTGTCTTTGAAAATCTTTGAAGTAAAATCTTTCAACATCTTCTGTAAAGATTTTTCAATTTCTTATCAAGAAATCATTCAGTAACATCTGTTCACAGGCTGTTATAGGCTTTTGTCTGTCAAAGTTGATGAAAGTTGGTGATAAACCAGCATATTAATAGTTTAGAGGTCAGCTGATATGCTGTATTACAAACCAGTAACAGTTCTAAAACAGTTCTAAGCAGTATGGACGAAGAAGAGACATTATCCTTTATAATCATAGCCTGTATTATTAAAAAGAAAAAGAGGGAAGGGAGGAAAAAGACGACAGTTTGAACAAGGCCGTGTATAGCCAGGCGTGATGAATGCGGGGCATTCAGTCATTTACTCCCAGAAATTATGAACGAGGACGAAAGGAGCTACAGAATTTTTTCCGAATGAACAAAGCTCAATTTGATGGCAGATTGTTAAAAAATTGAGAATTTTATAAGAAAACATGATGCACGTCTGAGACAGGCAATACCTCCTGCTGAGCGACTTGCAGCCACTCTGCCTTTCCTGGCAACAGGTGAATATACAACTCTAAAATCAACTCAATCTAATCTTGGAGTAACAAGCTGACTACTCAGAATAGATAAAAACTGTTTATTATGTTTTGTTTTTCACCCACATTTGTTCTTTGGGCACACTATAACCCGTGTGAATTAGCCCACAGTGATTAGTAGGCAGGCAGGTAGGTAGGTAGGCAGGCAGTTAGGTAGGTAGATAGGTAGGTCGGTCTCTCTCTCTCTCTCTCTCTCTCCCACCATCTCTCTCGCTCTTTCTCCCACTGTCTTTCCTTACTCCCACTTCTTACCCCCACCGTCTTACCCCCACCCCCACCCTTACCCCCACTGTCTTACTCTCACTGTCTTACCTGTCTTAGTAGGGCTCTCAACTCTCACTAGTATGGCTCAGACGTGGAATTCCCCTGAAGACAGTTAGACACATTTCTATTGGCTTTCGGAAACACAATACGGCTAGCGCAGACCTGCGATTTTTGTTTGCGCGTCGCTGCAACCTGCAACCGCAAGCGATCGGTCGATGTGTCGCCGCGTGTGCGCACACATGCGTCTTCGAAGCAATTCTAGAACAATTTGGAAGCGATTGGGAGCGACGAGTCGCTCAAAATCAAAACAGTTTGATTTCTTGCAACTCGTCGCAAGCGACCAGAATCGCTACGGGTTGCAGTTGCACGTTCCCGCAGACGTAGCGATTACAGAGCAATTTTCACAGCGATTCTAGAATCGCTGTCGAGTTGCATGAAAAAGTCGCAGGTTTTTGCTAGGCTTAAAGTAATTATTACGAGAGTTTTCCAGCATTTTCCCCACTTTCATGATACCTGCCGTTATTGCTTGAGTAACAGCAATTTTCTAGAGTAACGATAAAATGTCTTACAACCTTCGTATTCACCAAAACATGCAATTTTCGAACTAGTTTGGTAAACAATCTTACTAGCTAATAGCGCCGCCGCCTATCTGCCATAGACATACAGTCTCTCTTAAATGCAGTTGTTTTCAATTTATAACCGACAATTTACAAGTTTACCAATTCTGCCATTAGCGAAACACGATAAAATGCATTGCTGTTACGATGTGTTCATATCCAATTTTCTATGCTATAACTGCATAAAATCTTATGTATAAAATCTGCATAAAATCTCTGGTGTAATCGGTGATATATCCGCTGTGAGGTGAGACTATATTTCGGTATATTTTTTTGGAGTTGAGGGTTTCTGAGCAAAACTCTCGTAATAATGGCTTTAACCATATGGCACCTATCATTCAGGCGTGTGTGAGAGGCGGCTTACTGCGCGTGTGTACGCCCCGCTGCCCGCGCGCGGCAGTGTTAATTAACTGATTGCACTTAAACGGGTCCCGCGAGAAATTCAACGATGGATTAGGTTTGTAAACGGGGCTCGAAATCATTTTGCCGAGACAGCGGCGCGTGAGATTAATTGAGTTCGGTAATAAGCGGAGTTAATCTCGATATGTTGACGCCGCACGCATTTCTTTAGCGCAAAAAGACGGAATAGTTTATTTAAGTAGCAGCGGCAGCTGATGCTGATGCGGCGGCGGCGGCGGCGGCGGCGGCGGCGGCGGCGGCGGCATTAGGGTGGTGGCCGTGGTGGCGGGGGCTACGGCGACGGTGGTGGCTGTGACGGTGGAACAGAGGGACACTGTGGTGACATACTGACACTGTGGTGACAGAGGGACATTGTGGTGACAGACTGACACTGTGGTGACAGACTGACACTGTGGTGACTGAGGGACATTGTGGTGACAGACTGACACTGTGGTGACAGAGGGACACTGTGGTGACAGACTGACACTGGTGACAGAGGGACACTGTGGTGACAGAGGGACACTGGTGACAGAGGGACACTGTGGGGACAGAGGGACACTGTGGTGACAGAGGGACACTGTGGTGACAGAGGGACACTGTGGGGACAGAGGGACACTGTGGTGACAGAGGGACACTGTGGTGACAGAGGGACACTGTGGGGACAGAGGGACACTGTGGTGACAGAGGGACACTGTGGTGACAGGGGCACAACAAGGTCGCTACATGGCTGTAGCCTGAGCAAATTTCTAATATACGAAAAATGTTCAGAGCTAACTGAGTAGTGATGAGGTAATGCTTTTTTTACGGTGTCGCCAATTCAACTACACATAGGACACTTATTAGGTGGATATTATTTAATTGATCCCCCAAATCCAGGTAGATGGGCATCCTACGCTGTACCCTCGTACATGCTACGCCTCTGTGGACTGCCACATGGTGGTTCTGCTCAAGCGTAATTGTCTCCTTCATTTTTCTTCCAGGTCATGCGGCTGGAATCAGTAAGAAGTGCATCAAGCTACGTCCGATCGCAGTCATTAAGGGATGAGGAGGCCAATCGATTTGGCGGTGGATGAGGATGAAGAGGCTGAGGCAGGCAGAGTGGATGTGGATAAGACGGCTGAAGAGACAGATTAGGCGGCTGAGTAGGACAAAGTGGATGAGGATGAGGAGGCTGAGGGATGTCACGTGGATTAGGAAGATGTGCTGGCCTCATTGCATCACTGATAGATGCTCGTTTGATCGTAAGGTCGCAGAGCCTCACTCGCTCAGCTAATGCGTGCCAGGTCTGCAGCCAACAGTAGCAGCAGCAGCATCAGCATCAGCAGCAGCAGCAGCAGTATCAGTGGCAGCATCAGCAGCAGTATCAGCAGAAGCAGAATCAGCAGCAGTGGCAGCAGCAGCAGTATCATCATCATCATCATCAGCAGCAGCAGCAGCAGTGGCATCATCATCATCATCAGCAGTAGCATCATCAGCAGCAGCAGTGGCAGCATCAGGATCAGCATCAGCATCAGCAGCATCAGCATCAGCAGCAGCAGCAGTGGCAGTCGATGTGATCTAGGCAGGAGACGCATGCAATCACCGACCAGTTACTGCCATGGCACCTATATGAGACTAGTTGGCTGATGCGTTGAGTGAGACAGGACACCTGAGCTGCGGCGGCGGCGTTGGCTAGCAGATGCACTCAGGGATGCTCACCTATCACTAACAAAGTGGTTTGCGGAGTAACGAACCTCATCGCCTGTTCCGCTCCCTCACCTGTTCCACTCTCTCACCTGTACCGCTCTCTCACCTGTTCCACTTCCCCACCTGTACCACTCTCACCTGTACCGCTCTCTCACCTGTACTGCTCTCTCACCTGTACTGCTCTCTCACCTGTACCACTCTCTCACCTGTGCTGCTCTCTCACCTGTTCCACTCTCACCTGTGCTGCTCTCTCACCTGTACCACTCTCTCACCTGTACCACTCTCTCACCTGTACCACTCTCTCACCTGTACCGCTCTCTCACCTGTACCACTCTCTTACCTGTGCTGCTCTCTCACCTGTACCACTCTCTCACTTGTACCGCTCTCTCACCTGTTCCACTCTCTCACCTGTACCACTCTCTCACCTGTGCTGCTCTCTCACCTGTACCACTCTCTCACCTGTACCGCTCTCTCACCTGTACCGCTCTCTCACCTGTTCCACTCTCACCTGTGCCGCTCTCTCACCTGTACCGCTCTCTCACCTGTACCACTCTCTCACCTGTGCTGCTCTCTCACCTGTACCACTCTCTCACCTGTACCGCTCTCTCACCTGTACCATTCTCTCACCTGTACCGCTCTCTCACCTGTACCGCTCTCTCACCTGTTCCACTCTCACCTGTGCCGCTTTCTCACCTGTACCGCTCTCTCACCTGTACCGCTCTCTCACCTGTACCGCTCTCTCACCTGTACCGCTCTCTCACCTGT